ATCACCATGGTTATTAACTGTAGCTACACAGTGAAAGTCATATCACCATGGTTATTAACTGTAGCTACACAGTGAAAGTCATATCACCATGGTTATTAACTGTAGCTACACAGTGAAAGTCAAATCACCATGGTTATTAACTGTAGCTACACAGTGAAAGTCAAATCACCATGGTTATTAACTGTTGCTTCACAGTGAAAGTCAGATCACCATGGTAACTAATCCTAGCTACACAGAGAAAGTCAGATCAACGTACACAGTGTAAGTCAAATCACCATGGTTATTAACTGTAGCTACACAGTGTAAGTCAAATCACCATGGTTATTAACTGTTGCTTCACAGTGAAAGTAAGATCACCATGGTTGCTTATCCTAGCTACTCAGTGAAATATCACTATGGTTACTAACTGTACACAGATAAAGTTAGATCACCATGGCTGCTCTCCTTAGCTAAGGAGTGAAACTGAAATAAATACAATAATACCATTTGCATGCAGAGCATTAAATATATCACAATCTTAAATATCATAAAATTAAAACTTGCACCTTATTAATTAACAAAACAACTTTTCCCATGCTAACTGGAAATTGCGTTAAAAAAAGGGAAAAAAATCAATAATTTATCAGTTTAAAACAGTTCTAACGGTACCTGATATTCTGGTCTATTGATTAATTGCATATGACAATTTGACATGGCTATTTTTTCCTTGATCATTTGGTCATAAAACAGGAACTGATGACACAGACAAGATTTTGAAGCTTGTTTTGCTTCGGGTACTGATCAATCATGTTTAGGGTACCTTGAGTCTCATTAGGACTTTCCACTATTTATCAAATCCAAGGTCATCCACTAAATGGTGTAAGTGTTGGTTAAATGGTGGATCAACACCTTCCATCAATTTGATTTGTCAAAATCACCAATAGTGTAATGTGACTTGGACTGCTTGAATTTTACAAGTTGTTAGTTTCATTAACACACAGAATTAATCACCGTCAAATAATACCATTTGAATTATTATCAATTATATTTGGGTATGGAGCTGTAAAAATAACCGTGTGAATTTTGCACATCAATCACAAAACTATCACCTCTAATAAAATTCATAATACAACCTGACATGCAGTTTGTAAAACAATGGTGTTTACTGGATAAGTCATAAAATTGTGATAGAAAGAAATTCCAGAAAATGTGACCTATGTTTACCAGTTTAATCAAGCTTTCTTTAGTTAAAATAAAAAATTTAAAAAATGGCAAAGACCCTTTTTTTAAGTTTAAAACTTGATCTAAATTGAGTGAAATATGTCGAGTCTGTACAGGTATATATGTTATCCTTATCTGGATGATTATGAGACAGATTAGGTTTTATTATTACAACTGTGCAAACACTGGGTTACAGAAGTAACTTAAAAAGTACATTTTGATACAAACAATTAGTGGCATTTCTCATATTGCTATATATACCCTGTATATTTAACTGAAGATGAAGTATTTTATGTTGCACTACAACTTTATACTAATTATGAAAACTAAGGAATACCAAAACTTATGTTATGACCCTAGATTTTAACATGATAATGACAACACTGCAGTCAACTGTGAAGTAAACACTAAATATCTTACAACATGACAGTTACCTAGGAGGTAAAAACTAAATGTCATGTAAGTCTTACAACACGACAGTTACCTAGGAGGTAAAAACTAAATGTCATGTAAGTCTTACAACACGACAGTTACCTGGGAGGTAAAAACTAAATGTCATGTAAGTCTTACAACACGACAGTTACCTGGGAGGTAAAAACTAAATGTCATGTAAGTCTTACAAAATGACAATTACCTAGGAGGTAAAAACTAAATGTCATGTAAGTCTTACAACATGACAGTTACCTGGGAGGTAAAAACTTAATGTCTTACAACATGACAGTTACCTAGGAGGTAAAACTTAATGTCATATAAGTCTTACAACACGACAGTTACCTGGGAGGTAAAAACTCAATGTCATGTAAGTCTTACAACATGACAGTAACCTGGGAAGTAAAAACTAAATGTCATGTAAGTCTTACAACATGACAGTTACCTAGGAGGTAAAAACTAAATGTCATGTAAGTCTTACAGCATGACAGTTACCTAGGAGGTAAAAACTAAATGTCTTACAACATGACAGTTACATGGGAAGTAATAAAAACTAAATGTCATGTAAGTCTTACAACATGACAGTAACCTGGGAAGTAAAAACTAAATGCCATGTAAGTCTTACAACACGACAGTTAACTTGGATGTCAAAATGTAACGTCATGTAAGTCCTACAGGCAGTTAAGTCAGAGGTAAAAAGTTAACTGAATATCAGTCCTAAAACATGCCATTTAACACCGACGTAAAAGAAACGTTATAATAATCTTACAACATGACACTTAACCATGAGGTAAAAAACTAAAAGTCATTAAAGTCTGATTCAGTCTTTCCTTGCTTGACAGCTTCAGAATTCAATACAGCTAACTTAATTGCCTTCGTCAGCCAAATACGAAAATCTAATCTTTGATACAATTCATACACTTGTCATACGGAAAGAGTAAAGAGCTGAGATACCCTTTTAAATTATGGGAAACAAAATCTCATGATCACTTGTAAAAGAATTGCTTTGCAGAATGTATAAACTGTAGCCAACATCACGATCGCTTGGCAATGGATTTCCTCACATAGTCCATCACCCTGAATGGATCTGTATTGGCATTTTGTGACTGTAAAGAAAGCAGAATAAGAACATGTTAATACATCTACCGGTCAGTAAAATGTGATGTTATACATCTACTAGTCAGTAAAATGTGATTTTATACATCTACTAGTCAGTATAATGTCATGTTATACATCTACCAGTCAGTAAAATGTGATGTTATACATCTACTAGTCAGTATAATGTCATGTTATACATCTACTAGTTAGTATGTCATGTTATACATCTACCAGTCAGTAAAATGTCATGTTATACATCTACCAGTCAGTATAATGTCATGTTATACATCTACTAGTCAGTATAATGTCATGTTATACATCTACTAGTCAATATAATATCATGTTATACATGAACTAGTCAGTAAAATGTCATGTTATACATCTACTAGTCAGTATAATGTCATGTTATACATCTACTAGTCAGTATAATGTCATGTTATACATCTACTAGTCAGTATAATATCATGTTATACATGAACTAGTCAGTAAAATGTCATGTTATACATCTACTAGTCAGTATAATGTCATGTTATACATCTACTAGTCAGTATAATATCATGTTATACATGAACTAGTCAGTAAAATGTCATGTTATACATCTACTAGTCAGTATAATGTCATGTTATACATCTACTAGTCAGTATAATATCATGTTATACATGAACTAGTCAGTAAAATGTCATGTTATACATCTACTAGTCAGTATAATGTCATGTTATACATCTACTAGTCAGTATAATGTCATGTTATACATCTACTAGTCAATATAATATCATGTTATACATGAACTAGTCAGTAAAATGTCATGTTATACATCTACTAGTCAGTAAAATGTCATGTTATACATCTACTAGTCAGTATAATATCATGTTATACATGAACTTGTCAGTAAAATGTGATGTTATACATCTACTAGTCAGTATAATGTCATGTAATTCATTTACCAGTCAGTATAATGTCATGTAATACATGTACCAGTCAGTATAATATCATGTAATACATTAACCAGTCAGTATAATGTCATGTAATACATGTACCAGTCAGTATAATATCATGTAATACATTAACCAGTCAGTTAATGTCATGCAATACATGTACCAGTCAGTATAATGTCATGTAATACATGTACCAGTCAATTTAATGTCATGTAATAAATCTACCAGTCAGTATAATGTCATATAATACATGTACCAGTCAGTATAATGTCATGTAAATATATGTACTATGTTTCATATATATCCAACATAAATCCCCTGATTTTAGTGTAAAGCAAATAATAACTACAGGTTTGTATTCGTGAACAAAAACCTTTCTCCTGGTTTATAGCAAATACACAAATTTGCCTTGTTCTTTTATCACCTCTGACCTAAACGTGAAGGTCACGCCGACTTAAAATCAATACACTTTCTCTGGTTGTAGCAGTTATCTGTCAAATTTTATCAAGACTTCCTAAATGGTTTAAATTTACAGCACAGGGAAGATTTCACTTTTTATTTACAATTTTAAGTATGAATGGGCAGTTAAATAAAGAGGAAATCTCTGTATATCTAAGAACTTCACCAGGCTTGTCCCCTCAGTACCTCCATCATCTGTGGACACTGTTGTCATGACATTAGTCATTGTAATGATGTAAAGTCCCAGATATCAATCAATCAACCCTTGTTACAGTAACCATGACCTTTGACCTTTTAAAACCTATGGCAAATATTTCATATACATGTACTATGAAGGATCGATGTCCTACTACAGGAAAATCACCATCACAATATCTACCATCCACTGTAATTTTTTCTGTGGTCCACTTATAATTAACAAATGCTAATTTTTCAGATTTTGCTTTAAACTTTGAGATCCTGACTCACTTTACTTTAGTACTGAAGACAAATGTGAAAATTCAACCAAATCAAATTAACGCTGAAGATAGACCAAATATAGATTGATGATGATGAAACAAGTACATACATATGGACTGACACGGACAAAGCTATATTCCTTCACTCCATATATAAGACACAACTTACAGTGAAGAGTTCCAGGGAGCTGGTCTCGGAGCGTACGGTTGCCACCGCCCCGCGCGTCACTATCCGGGTGTACGCAGGTAAACGACCTGGACCAGACTTGTCCTACAAATTGAACACTCATCATCACTTCTGAGAATTATGTTTATGTCTAAAACATCCTGGCAGGTGTGATACTCAAAACGATATGATAAATTGACAAATATTCATTTCACATTAATATCATTTCAAAATGAACAGCAGATTTAATACATATCAATATCCATGTTGAAACCCATGTTGTTAGTTTTATATAAAGTCAATTTTCTCATACAGTACAAGAACATTTTAATTGTTCTCTGCTTCCATTTATAAGTATGAAGAATACAAACCAGACTTGGAAGTGCATATCCTGAACTATAGCACAACTTCTCCATGTCATCTAGAAAGGCTGCAATAGAAAAAAGGGCTAATATAGTCATTACTACTGAATAAGAACAAGCAATCTCAGGGGGATCTTATCGCCCACCACTCAAATAGTCTCCAATAGGTACCAAGGGCATTGAGCAAACCAATTCAACTTGCAATATAATCTCTGAGGGGTTTGTTATTTGCTTAACTTTCCAATCCATCTCAAAATGGAGCAAGCACAACAAAGGACAAAGGGGATCATGTATATAAAGTTTTATTAGGATTCCTTTAGGTACTTTCCGAGAAAAGCAGTAACAAACTTTACATGAAACATCCATGTATGATCTAATGGTGGCCTAACGGATATTTGTTGTTTTTATGAAGAATCAGTCAAATTTGAAGCATGTACAATTCAACTAAAGGGATCATGTATGCCATCATCCTCGATATCCAGGGGTTACGATCACTTTGGCTCTCTACACCCCTGGAATATGTCACAGGTATCAGCCTAGCGACGATTGGTCAGGATTTTTTTTACCTGATACCAATCAAACAGCTATCCTTGTGCCTTCAATTTTGCTATGACATACGAAAGTGAGCGTAACCCCTGGATATCGAGGGTGGTATACCATGTTCCTTGCTGATCCCTTTAATAGTTTCTGAGAAATAGTGGCAACAAATTTGACATAAAAATCCAAAATGGCTGCATGGTAATCAATTTGTTGTTTTTGTCTGATCCATCTGAAACTAAAGCATGCAAAACTACAGACCAAGAACATCGCACATGCCAAGTTGTGTCATGAGTCCTTTAGCAGTTTCTGAGAAAAAGCCATTCCAAGCATTAAAGACTGATTTATAAGGACCATGAAAGGGTTCAGGAAAGGAAAACACTGTCCAAGTCATACCTCATGTATTATTTCACTTTATTTTCAGGTAGGTTTCCATAAGGAGACATCTTGGGGAGGAGCACAGTGTACTATAATTAGGTTACTGTGACCTATTTTGGGGGTGTTAGGGGTCATTAAAGGAAAAGACTGGAATGGGGAATACAGTGTCCCATGGCCTTGTCACTGTTTCCTACTTTTCAGGTGTTAACAGAAATGCAAAATAATGGTGATGTATACATTTATACTGTATTTACGATGTTATTGTTATTTAATTTCAAAGTGATAATTAGGCATCCTTAGTAATTCCAACAAAACAAACCTCGGTATACAAAGTAGATAAGCTTAAAATAGTCGTCACAGGGCTCTTCACTGATAACCACCACCTCATTGTCTCTCTTGGGAAGCTACAACACAACACACATTAATACACAATAAAATCACGATGGCAGAACACCTCGTCACAAAACTTTTACAAATTGTTAACAAAGGTGGGATCTACTTTTAGTATATCAAGTTAGATCTAAATACAAAGGGCTGCATATTAATTTGGCAGGTGTGAAAGCCCTACAGGGTGTGTATACCCACTGTAAATAAAGATAACTGTACTTTGACTTGACTAGAATTTTTTCCCAATTTTTTACAATCACCTAGTACCCTTTAATATATATAGATGTAACATGATGTAACTCACTCATTTTGATTTTTACAATGGCTATACAGTGTGATTTTTACGCTTATTTGCCAAATCTATAGTTTTGGAGTAATTTTAACTGATATTTTATTCACTTTAGAAATGATTAACACTTTTCAGAAAGGAATATATATCAAACATTGAAAATGAGTGGTAAAAAATCTGGTTACAACTTTGTATATTGAATGCATGAGAATCCCCATGGCTACCGTTAGTTCACTGACTGAACTTAAATCTCTTTGATCTATTTAGCATCCATTATTTATTATGTGTGTTAAAGTGTACTGTACGGAGGTAAAACACAATCTTACCAGGCTTGCAATAGCGACAGCCTTTCCGTAGGTAACCCCTAGCCCCAGGGCCGAGTGGACTGATACTAGGTCCGAGAAGTAGTTCCTGCCAGGGAAGTCCTCACTATAGCGCTGGGCACCGATACGCCAGTTCTCAATCGCTCCTGTATAAAGAATCAAATCTTTCATAATCATTTGATTCATATCATTATATTTGCTACTATGATTATACACTTGTATTTGTTTGAGGGGAATTCATATTTTAACATTTTATGTCAATTCAAAAGTATTGAAATATGTTAACTGCTAAATAAAAAAAAAAAAAATCTGGTTTACTGTGAGTAACATACAGCCATAGTTCTAAATCACGATGTGATGCAACTTGAATATTGTCACTGATCTGTGAATTTGATGTGTTCCTATATATATGAAAATGAATGACGTCCTCCACATCCTCTAAAGATTTAAATATAATCCAAAAACAGCTTCACTTTAAAATCTAACATCTCCTTAAAAGATATTGGCACTGAATTTTAATCATTTGAGGCTGCATACAACGTAAAATGAAAGCATTATACAGCCATATAACAACTTTTGATAGAAGCATGTTTCGATCATATAAAGATCATGGTACCTTGCTACAAAACCATTTTTGTTTTAAACGAAGAACAAGAGACCAAAGGGGCCTTAATTGTTTCCTGACAACTTTTCTTCATGTTTGAATCTTGTGCCGTTGAAAAAGTGTTATGATAATATATTTGATAGACGTTTATATGCTTTAACACAGACATATAAGGGCATAATTTAATGGGATAGGGATGAACCACCATTATATATACAGCGTAAATGTAGGACTGGAACTTAGTTGGTGGAGGGTGTAGGGTAAGGGAAGGCTTGAAAAGGTAGCATTTAGTTTGTGTACTCTGGTGATTATTCCAGTCTACATAACAAACACATGTAAAGTAGACTGAAGGGTAAAGGAGGGTTGATGTAAGGATAGGGATTGTGGGAACTGAGGACGACTGGCGTACCTTGGAACAAAACCTTGCTATAAAGGAGGGTTGATGTAAGGATAGGGATTGTGGGAACTGAGGACTGGCGTACCTTGGTACAAAACCTAGCTATAAAGGAGGGTTAATGTAAGGGTAGGGTTTATGGGAACTGAGGACTGGCGTACCTTGGTACAAAACCTTGCTATAAAGGAGAGTTGATGAAAGGATAGGGATTGTGGGAACTGAGGACTGGTGTACCTTGGTACAAAACCTTGCTATAAAGGAGTGTTGATGTTTTGTGGGAACTGAGGACTGGGGTACCTTGGTACAAAACCTTGCTATAAAGGAGTGTTGATGAAAGGATAGGGATTGCGGGAACTGAGGACTGGTGTACCTTGGTACAAAACCTTGTTATAAAGGAGGGTTGATGTAAGGATAGGGTTTGTGGGAACTGAGGACTGGCATACCTTGGTACAAAACCTTGCTATAAAGGAGTGTTGATGAAAGGATAGGGATTGTGGGAACTGAGGACTGGCGTACCTTGGTACAAAACCTTGCTATAAAGGAGGGTTGATGAAAGGATAGGGTTTGTTGAGGACTGGCGTACCTTGGTACAAAACCTTGCTATAAAGGAGGGTTGATGTAAGGATAGGGATTGTGGGAACTGAGGACTGGCGCACCTTGGTACAAAACCTTGCTATAAAGGAGTGTTGATGAAAGGATAGGGATTGTGGGAACTGAGGACTGGCGTACCTTGGTACAAAACCTTGCTATAAAGGAGGGTTGATGTAAGGGTAGGGTTTATGGGAACTGAGGACTGGCGTACCTTGGTACAAAACCTTGTTATAAAGGAGGGTTGATGAAAGGATAGGGTTTGTTGAGGACTGGCGTACCTTGGTACAAAACCTTGCTATAAAGAAGGGTTGATGTAAGGGTAGGGTTTATGGGAACTTAGGATTGGCGTACCTTGGTCCAAACCTTACTATAAAGGAGGGTTGATGAAAGGATAGGGTTTGTGGGAACTGAGGACTGGTGTACCTTGGTACAAAACCGTGCTATAAAATAGGGTTGATGAAAGGATAGGGTTTGTGGGAACTGAGGACTGGTGTACCTTGGTACAAAACTGTGCTATAAAGGAGTGTTGATGAAAGGATAGGGATTGTGGGAACTGAGGACTGGCGCACCTTGGTACAAAACCTTGCTATAAAGGAGGGTTGATGTAAGGATAGGGATTGTGGGAACTGAGGACTGGCGTACCTCGGTACAAAACCTTGCTATAAAGGAGGGTTGATGTAAGGATAGGGTTTGTTGAGGACTGGCGTACCTTGGTACAAAACCGTGCTATAAAGGAGTGTTGATGAAAGGATAGGGATTGTGGGAACTGAGGACTGGTGTACCTTGGTACAAAACCTTGCTATAAAGGAGGGTTGATGTAAGGGTAGGGTTTATGGGAACTGAGGACTGGCGTACCTTGGTACAAAACCTTGCTATAAAGGAGGGTTGATGTAAGGGTAGGGTTTATGGGAACTGAGGACTGGCGTACCTTGGTACAAAACCTTGCTATAAAGGAGGGTTGATGTAAGGGTAGGGTTTATGGGAACTGAGGACTGGCGTACCTTGGTACAAAACCTTGCTATAAAGGAGGGTTGATGTAAGGGTAGGGTTTATGGGAACTGAGGACTGGCGTACCTTGGTACAAAACCTTGCTATAAAGGAGGGTTGATGTAAGGGTAGGGTTTATGGGAACTGAGGACTGGCGTACCTTGGTACAAAACCTTGCTATAAAGGAGGGTTGATGTAAGGGTAGGGTTTATGGGAACTAAGGAATGGCGTACCTTGGTAACGGTCACGGTCGAGGAAAGCATGAACGTGAGGATGGATCTGACTAGCTCCTGCATGTGGCAGGAGATCCATAATCAGCATGGGGTTCACGAAGGCTTTGTTCTCCTGGTGAGCCTTGTCTACCCTAAAACACAGGATTAACATGTGAAACAGATACAACAGCTAACATGTCTAGTCCTAAAACACTGAATAATGTGGTGAGCCTTGTCTGCCCTAAAACACAGGATAAACATGTGAAACAGACACAACAGCTAACATGGCTAGTCCTAAAACACTGAATAATCTGGTGAGCCTTGTCTACCCTAAAACACAGGATTAACATGTGTAACAGATACAACAGCCTACATGTCTGTCCTAAAACACTAAATAATGTGGTGAGCCTTGTCTACCCTAAAACACAGGATTAACATGTGAAACAGATACAACAGCTTACATGTCTAGTCCTAAAACACTGAATAATGTGGTGAGCCTTGTCTACCCTAAAACACAGGATTAACATGTGAAACAGATACAACAGCCTACATGTCTAGTCCTAAAACACTGAATAATGTGGTGCGCCTTGTCTACCCTAAAACACAGGATTAACATATGAAACAGATACAACAGCCTACATGTCTAGTCCTAAAACACTGAATAATGTGGTGAGCCTTGTCTATCCTAAAACACAGGATTAACATGTGTAACAGATACAACAGCTCACATGTCTAGTCCTAAAACACTGGATAATGTGGTGAGCCTTGTCTACTCTAAAACACAGGATTAACATGTGGAACAGATACAACAGCCTACATGTCTAGTCCTAAAACACTGAATAAGGTGGTGAGCCTTGTCTACCCTAAAAAACAGGATTAACATGTGTAACAGATATAACAGCTCACATGTCTAGTCCTAAAACAATGAATAATGTGGTGAGCCTTGTCTACCCAAAAACACAGGATTAACATGTGTAACTGATACAACAGCCTACATGTCTAGTCCTAAAACACTGAATAATGGGGTGAGCCTTGTCTACCCTAAAACAAAGGATTAACCTGTGTAACAGATACAACAGCTTAAATGTCTAGTCCTAAAACACTGAATAAGGTGGTGAGCTGTGTCCACCCTAAAACACAGGATTAACATGAGTAACAGATACAACAGCTTACATGCCCGTCCTAAAACACTGAATAATGTGATGAGCCTTGTCTACCCTAAAACAAAGGATTAACCTGTGTAACAGATACAACAGCTTACATGCCCGTCCTAAAACACTGAATAATGTGATGAGCCTTGTCTACCCTAAAACAAAGGATTAACATGTGTAACAGATATAACAGCTCACATGTCTAGTCCTAAAACGCTGAATAATGTGGTGAGCCTTGTCCACCCTAAAACACAGGATTAGCATGTGTAACAGATACAACAGCTCACGTGTCTAGTCCTAAAACACTGAATAAGGTGGTGAGCTGTGTCCACCCTAAGACACAGGATTAACATGTGTAACAGATATAACAGCTCACATGTCTAGTCCTAAAACAATGAATAATGTGGTGAGCCTTGTCTAGCCTAAAACACAGGATTAACATGTGTAAAAGATACAACAGCTTACATGTCTGTCCTAAAACACTGAATAAGGTGGTGAGCTGTGTCCACCCTAAAACACAGGATTAGCATGTGTAACAGATACAACAGCTCACATGTCTATGCCTAAATCACTGAATAATGCGGTGAGCCTTGTCTACCCTAAAAAACAGGATTAACATGTGTAACAGATAAAACAGCTTACATGTCCGTCCTAAAACACTGAATAATGTGGTCAGCTGTGTCCACCCTAAAACACAGGATTAACATATGTAACAGATACAACAGCTTACATGTCCGTCCTAAAACACTGAATAATGTGATGAGCCTTGTCTACCCTAAAACACGGGATTAACATGTGTAACAGATACGACAGCTTACATGTCTGTCCTAAAACACTGAATAATGTTGTGAGCTGTGTCTACCCTAAAACACAGAATTAACATGTGTAACAGATACAACGGCTTACATGTCTAGTCCTAAAACACCGAATAATGTGGTGAGCTGTGTCTACCCTAAAACACAGGATCAACATGTGTAACAGATACAACAGCCTAAATGTCTGTCCTAAGACACTGAATAATGTGGTGAGCTGTATCTACCCTAAAACACAGGATTAACGTGTGTAACAGATACAACAGCTTACATGCCCGTCCTAAAACACTGAATAATGTGGTGAACCTTGTCTACCCTAAAACACAGGCTTAACACGTGTAACAGATACAACAGCTTACATGTCTGTCCTAAAACACTGAATAATGTGATGAGCCTTGTCTACCCTAAAACAAAGGATTAACATGTGTAACAGATATAACAGCTCACATGTCTAGTCCTAAAACGCTGAATAATGCGGTGACCCTTGTCTACCCTAAAACACAGGCTTAACATGTGTAACAGTTACAACAGCCTACATGTCTAGTCCTAAAACACTTAATAATGTGGTGATCCTTGTCTACCCTAAAACACAGGACTAACATGTGTAACAGATACAACAGCTTACATGTCTGTCCTAAAACACTGAATAATGTAACTTAATTTTTGATAATACATTTATTTTTTACACCAAAGCTTGATCCATGAACCATGTGGCCTTTGATGTTGACAATAACTGTCTTCAATCTTATCTCTTTATCAAATTATTTCTTAATTATTTCTTATTTCCATTTGTTAGATTTTGAAAAAGAATTGCAACAGAACCAGATTGTCCAAATATAGGGAAAATTTGATCATTACTTGTTTAGTGATGTACAATAGAAAAAAGAAATACTATGTATGTGGTTCAATTAGTATTTTATCAAAGAGATCCCATCCCTACACCTAGCATCCTCGATATCCAGGGGTTAAGCTTACTTTCGCTCTCTACACCCCTGGAATATGTCATGGCAAAATTGAAGGCACGAAGATAGCTGTTTGATTGGTCTCAGGTAAAAAAAACACCTGACCAATCGCTAGGGTGATACATGTCCTTTGAAGATTACAAAGGAGAGATGCCCGACTTCAAAGTCAGTCAATTTTACCGTTACGTGACCGCGAGATTCTTTTGATGTACATCAAAGGATCAAACTAGTCTTCTTGTCTCATCAACAAGGTGGCGCACATCGAGCCTTTAATTTTGCCATGACATATTCCAGGGGTGTAGAGAGCAAATGTGAGCATAACCCCTGGATATCGAGGATGACACCTAGGTTACAAATGCAGTGTATTAAATGTAGTTACATCAGGAGGAGGGTCACAGCTGTCATGTATATTTTAATGACTGAGCTACTGATGAGTGAGGATTAAATCACGAACCACTTCATGCAGGTATCCATCAGATCCAGGTACTCCTTTTTAGTCCAATTCAGAGGGTGGTGTTTTTTGGGCAGAATCAGGGTATGCCAGGCCCCAAGCTTGAACGTGTTGGCTGCAGTGAAAGACATCTTGGACTCAATACGTCCAAACACATCCTCGGCAGTATTTCTGTAATTCAATAAATTTACAATGATTGATTTACTCACAAACATACAAGTTGCTCAATAACAAAACAAGTTTATCTTACTAAGCAATATGTGAAGTCGTTTATCATGACAAAATCAGCAGTATGAGTCATGTCTGTCCAGTATAATATTGATGAAATGATAAATGAAAACAGTACATGTACCCATTCCTTAAAAACTGGAAAATTAAAATCAAAATTGTTTCTATCAAAGACAGAACTTTATTAGATATCAAATATCTTTTGACTTTTGTTTACTTTAATATTCAAATTATTGTACCCTAACATATTTCTGTTATTTGAGTCTTACTCTTTGTATTTGCAGAAATCACAGGTAGGCTGAGTCTCCTTGAAGAGTTCTTCAACACTACAAAATAGAAAGTAGTCATGTAGGTGTATCTGACTGATGTACTCCAGCACAACCAAAACAGTACAGTACTTCATTTATCCCGGTACAACCAAAACAGTACAGTACTTCATTTATCCCGCACAACCAAAACAGTACAGTCCTTCATTTATCCCAGTACAACCAAAACAGTACAGTACTTCATTTATCCCGCACAACCAAAACAGTACAGTACTTCATTTATCCAAGCACAACCAAAACAGCACAGTACTTCATTTATCCAAGCACAACCAAAACAGTACAGTACTTCATTTATCCAAGCACAACCAAAACAGTACAGTACTTCATTTACTCCAGCACAACCAAAACTGTACAGTACTTCATTTATCCTAGCACAACCAAAACAGTACAGTACTTCATTTATCCTAGCACAACCAAAACAATACACAGTACACTACTTCATTTATCCCAGCACAACCAAAACAGTACAGTTCTTCGTTTATCCCAGCACAACCAAAACAGCACAGTACTTCATTTATCCCAGTGCATCCAAAACAGTACAGTACTTCATTTATCCCGGTACAACCAAAACAGTACAGTTCTTCATTTATCCCAGCCCAACAAAAACAGTACAGTATTTTACTCCAGCACAACCAAAACAGTACAGATCTTCGTTTATCCCAGCACAACCAAAACAGTACAGATCTTCGTTTATCCCAGCACAACCAAAACAGCACAGTACTTCATTTATCCCAGCACAACCAAAACAGCACAGTACTTCATTTATCCCAGCCCAACAAAAACAGTACAGTATTTTACTCCAGCACAACCAAAACAGTGCAGTACTTCATTTATCCCGGTACAACCAAAACAATACAGTACTCATTTATCCTAGCACAACCAAACCCATACACAGTACACTACTTCATTTATCCCAGCACAACCAAAACAGCACAGTACTTCATTTATCCAAGCACAACCAAAACACTACAGTACTTCATTTACTCCAGCACAACCAAAACAGTACAGTACTTCATTTATCCCAGCGCATCCAAAACAGTACAGTTCTTCATTTATCCCAGCCCAACCAAAACAGTACAGTACTTCATTTATCCCAGCCCAACCAAAACAGTACAGTATTTTACTCCAGCACAACCAAAACAGTACAGTACTTCATTTATCCCGGTACAACCAAAACAGTACAGTACTCATTTATCCTAGCACAACCAAAACAGTACACAGTACAGTAATTCATTTATCGTAGCACAACCAAAACAGTACAGTATTTTCTTTTTCCGACATGACAATAGCTTTGTTAAATCCTTTCTGAAAAAAACCCATACCATGCGGGACTTTTATTAGAAATGATAAAGATGAAATAAACAAAATGTGTTCTGTGTTTAAAAGTTCAGCTGGGACGGAACTGGTTTTGAGGCCTGGATTTCCTATTGTTATACTGTCATTCTAGCTGATTGAGCTACCTGGTCAACGGAGTGTCCTGGCCCAAATATAAACAGAAGTTAAGGGGAGGTTACTGTATATACAGGAAAAAACACAGTACAGTGGGGCAGGGATCCTTAATTTATCCCAGTATGACCAAACAGTACAGCAGCTGATTATCTTTTATCTTCAACACAACCTGAACAATACACATTATTTACTGAAACATTACTGCAATACAGTATTTGATGAAAATATATTCACACATATACATTATCTTGATTTTTGAATACCGATAAGGATCATTTTTCATAAAGCTTCAATTACGTATTTTGATATTTTAAATGATCAGCACCACTTGATTTCTAATTTGATTTTATAATTTCTACTTGAGCACTAAAAGAATCTACCTCAGATATCTCAATGATTATCTTACTATTGTCTCTCGGGCTGCTCTGGTTTAGCTATTGGTCTTTTCTCTCGGAGTGGGTTGAAGACATTTTCTTCCTTTGTGTATTCATTGTAAATATAGAGTACAGTCTGAAAAATAAAAGAAAGCTCTTTCAGTAGCTGTGCAATAGGAGTAGATGTTTATCATAGTTAGAAACAACGGTCCCATGGAGCATGTACCTATCACCTGTTATTACTTATTATCTTAACTGTGGATGTCTCTGCCAATTTTAGGACATGGTGAACGTGGCCATCTTTGAATGCTTATTGACTAAAACAGTATATATATTGTGTACAGACATTTGAATTTTCTCATTTTTATCCTTCAATTCTGTCACCTTTTCTTTCCTTATGGGTCATCCTTTATATTTCCTGTGGAAGTTAGATTATTGATAATTTCTATTGGTCTGGGGTATTTTTCATGTATTTTTCCTTTTTTAAAGATAAATCATAAAATCTAGGGATGGTTGTGGTCAACACCCTTATTTATAAACCATTGAAACATTATGCTTACAACAGAAGATAAAATTTACCTGCAGCTTGGCATTTTGGAAGAGGTCCTCGTCGTTTCCAAGCCACTTACGAACCTTAGACTCATATTTTTTAGGTATGACCACCTTGGCAGGAAAGTCGGTGATGGTGAAGATGGATGTGAACGCGGTGTATAAATCTCTGAAAGGAAAGAAATTCTCTGAACATGTATTTATCATATGAATACCGTGTTATGCAGTGTCATAAAGCCATCACATAAATTATGTTTATGTAACAGGCGTAATATCACGATCGAATAGGAACAATCAATGTGACGTCACGTTATGTCAAGCAATGTGAAGCAGGCGTAATTTTCATTGTTTCAGAGGCGGCCAAGTGCAAAATATTCATTGCAAAATATTTGTTTCAGATCACAATTATGCAGTTTACTTTCTATGAAAAGAATATGTCATTCGTTTCCCTTTATATTAGATTTATGATACTCGCTTTGGATCATAAATCTAATATGAAGGGAAACAAATGACAGATCCTCTATATACCTGTTAATCAGGGTAGGTTTGAAATACATATGAATAATACATGACGTAGATCAGTCTAACCAAACTTCTAGATACTTACAATAAAAAGAAAAATTGTATGCATATTCCTTTTTTCACCAAATGATCTTTTTTTTTGATTTTAAACACATTTTACTCTGTGACAGTAGAATTTAGAAATGAAACAAGGTAAATTTGATAGTCCTCCACTCAAACAAGCTAAAGACAAAATATCACAGGTGTAAATCAACATCATTCGATTATTTCAACATGTCTGATCACCCTGTGACCTTGAAAGTGGAAAATCATGCCATGGTTATAAATTTGGACAAGCAGCTGCATTACCCATATGCATGAGTCATTTGAATTTTTTTGACACCCTTTACAATTTGACCTTGAAAGTTACTGAAGGCCATTAAAATGAACATATTTGATAGTCTTTGGCCTCCATTCCAGCTACCTATTGATATATCCTTATTCTAGTATAGGGATGACCTGGACAGTAGGTTAAGGTCATTCGTTTGTAACCATTTGCTAGCCGTCTATCCCAGTAAGCTACAAATATCCTGTCTCCAGGTTTCAAACAGGTTCTAGATCTGTAGAAGATGACACATGGATTGTTTAAATACAATCATGACCTTGATAGTTGGTCAGTTTAGTTTATTTTCATAATATGATAACCTTCCACCCCAGCATGCTACAAGACAAAATACTTGGTATGGTATTGATACCTGAAGGCCCCATAAGAAGATCATACACATTTTTAATGTATTTAGCTCCTGTAACTTTGAAAGCAGATCAAGGTAATTAGTTCCACAGATCTAAAGTACTGGTAAAGTACTATTTGTCTAAAGGCATAAGGCTTCTGTAAGTTGTTAAGAGAAAAATTTGAAACTTCATGATGATCGGCCATGCATACACGCAGACGCTCCTTGCATGCTGAGCTAGAAAACTCAAGACATTAAGTGAAAAGCTGAATTACAAAAACAGATGACCAACAAGCAGATACTGGAGTTTGATGTCTAATAGTACTTTTATTATAACACTGACCTGCAGTGAGAGGTGGTTGACTGTGACCACTGTTGTTAGATGTCTGATAGTACTTATTACTATAACACTGACCTACAGTGAGAGGTGGTTGACTGTGACCACTGTTGTTAGATGTCTGATAGTACTTGTTACTATAACACTGACCTATAGTGAGAGGTGGTTGACTGTGACCACTGTTGTTAGATGTCTGATAGTACTTGTTACTATAACACTGACCTACAGTGAGAGGTGGTTGACTGTGACCACTGTTGTTAGATGTCTGATAGTACTTGTTACTATAACACTGACCTACAGTGAGAGGTGGTTGACTGTGACCACTGTTGTTAGATGTCTGATAGTACTTGTTACTATAACACTGACCTACAGTGAGAGGTGGTTGACTGTGACCACTGTTGTTAGATGTCTGATAGTACTTGTTACTATAACACTGACCTACAGTGAGAGGTGGTTGACTGTGACCACTGTTGTTAGATGTCTGATAGTACTTGTTACTATAACACTGACCTACAGTGAGAGGTGGTTGACTGTGACCACTGTTGTTAGATGTCTGATAGTACTTGTTACTATAACACTGACCTACAGTGAGAGGTGGTTGACTGTGACCACTGTTGTTAGATGTCTGATAGTACTTGTTACTATAACACTGACCTACAGTGAGAGGTGGTTGACTGTGACCACTGTTGTTAGATGTCTGATAGTACTTGTTACTATAACACTGACCTACAGTGAGAGGTGGTTGACTGTGACCACTGTTGTTAGATGTCTGATAGTACTTGTTACTATAACACTGACCTACAGTGAGAGGTGGTTGACTGTGACCACTGTTGTTAGATGTCTGATAGTACTTGTTACTATAACACTGACCTACAGTGAGAGGTGGTTGACTGTGACCACTGTTGTTAGATGTCTGATAGTACTTGTTACTATAACACTGACCTACAGTGAGAGGTGGTTGACTGTGACCACTGTTGTTAGATGTCTGATAGTACTTGTTACTATAACACTGACCTACAGTGAGAGGTGGTTGACTGTGACCACTGTTGTTAGATGTCTGATAGTACTTGTTACTATAACACTGACCTACAGTGAGAGGTGGTTGACTGTGACCACTGTTGTTAGATGTCTGATAGTACTTGTTACTATAACACTGACCTACAGTGAGAGGTGGTTGACTGTGACCACTGTTGTTAGATGTCTGATAGTACTTGTTACTATAACACTGACCTACAGTGAGAGGTGGTTGACTGTGACCACTGTTGTTAGATGTCTGATAGTACTTGTTACTATAACACTGACCTACAGTGAGAGGTGGTTGACTGTGACCACTGTTGTTAGATGTCTGATAGTACTTGTTACTATAACACTGACCTACAGTGAGAGGTGGTTGACTGTGACCACTGTTGTTAGATGTCTGATAGTACTTGTTACTATAACACTGACCTACAGTGAGAGGTGGTTGACTGTGACCACTGTTGTTAGATGTCTGATAGTACTTGTTACTATAACACTGACCTACAGTGAGAGGTGGTTGACTGTGACCACTGTTGTTAGATGTCTGATAGTACTTGTTACTATAACACTGACCTACAGTGAGAGGTGGTTGACTGTGACCACTGTTGTTAGATGTCTGATAGTACTTGTTACTATAACACTGACCTACAGTGAGAGGTGGTTGACTGTGACCACTGTTGTTAGATGTCTGATAGTACTTGTTACTATAACACTGACCTATAGTGAGAGGTGGTTGACTGTGACCACTGTTGTTAGATGTCTGATAGTACTTGTTACTATAACACTGACCTGCAGTGAGATGTTGTTGACTGTGACCACTGTTGTTTGATCTTCTGAATGTTATCTAGCCTCATAAACTGTGATGGTGGTGTTTGAAGACAATCTTTCATAATGTTGGCCTGAAAAAATTCAACAAAAATTATGAGTTGATTGGCTTTTTTTTTTAAAATACCAGGTAAACAATGTTTTTTGGGTACATTTTATATCATTATAGTTATTCTACATATAAATATGAAAATGGGAGATTGGTAGGACACCTTTTTGTGACTACATCACCACCTACCCACCATATACTGTACAATCAAAGTACCTCCATGCCCCCAACTAAACCCTGCCATATTTTCAAACCGTGAATATTTGTTTCGAAAAAACAAGCTGGGACAAAAACATTGTTCATTTATAAGACACTAATGACAGGAACTCTTCATTCTTTGAACAAGACAGGTCATACAGTGACCCTCTATGAAACTATATTGTGAGTCAGTAAGAAATTCATCTCACTAATTTTCACCGGAAAGTTGTGGTATGTATGGAGAATCTAACAGAAATCTCATTTTGACCAAAAATGAATGATGTCTGACTTACTGCGAAATTATCCTCCAGTTGATGCCAATTTGGACATGAGATTGAGAACAAGAGGCCCAGAAGGCCTGTATTGCACACTTGGATAACAAAGTAACCATCAAAATTTCCAAGTTTAGACTCTGTCTCTCAGCAACAGTAGGTTCTTTCTATCCGTCTCCATGAATTGGGGTGGATTTTAAACATTAACCTCAATTTCCCCTATTGTGCCCCGCTTCTCTGTTTCCTAAAAGCAACATTCCATTTATACAAAATTGAGTCCCGGTCTCCCTTGCCAAAGGATGCTCTTGACCAAATTTGGTTAAAATCCCTACAATGGTACAGAAGAAGGATTTTAAATATTTTAACCTCAAATTTCCCTATTTATTCCCAACCCTCTGCAACAAGAGGGGCTACCCTCTCCAGTTATAAAAAGATGAGTCCCCCTTGCCCAAGGATGCTCCAAGCCAAATTTAGTCAAAACTAGTAGCGATTTAAAGGAAAAATTGACAGACGGACGACAGATGCTGCAGTATGGCATAAATCAGTTTGTTATTACAAGTTAAATATTAAAGTTTTTTTCAAAGGTCCTTGTACAATTTTCATTAGGAATATAAAGGATAAGCAAGACCTATTAGAGGCTATAGGCCCAGGTGTAACTTCATGATGCCCTATGATTTGAATTTCTTTATTGAGTCATTGAAACTATTTAAGTCAGGGGTGTACATTTCATTTTGAAGTACCAGTCTGTGAGCCAATTTTCATAGATCCTACCAGGTCGACCAGGTAAATATTAAAAAAAATCACTTGTCCCGTTATAAAATCTACTAGCAACAGGTGTTGGGCTAGTGGAATTGTACATCTATTGGTAATATGTTCTAAGTCCATGGTTATACACATGTATAATACAAACTGTCAACATACATACAATGTAGTCTGATACGGTCAAACAAATACACTTGTAACATACAAATATATCACAAACTTACAGTCGACACATATAAATAGACTATATAGGAAAAATGAGTTCAAACATCTATATTCTATACGTTTCACTTCAGAAGTTTGGGAGCTTCCAGTGCATATTCTGTAAAGGAAATTGGAAGCCCATTGACTCATTCACCCCTAAAGACACATTTGAACTCTTCCAATTCAAAGGATGGAATAGTTCATTATGAAACTTCAGGGGTGAATGAGTTAAAGAAGTAGTAGTACCATAAATTCAAGGTTAACAGTATGAGACAACTATATACAGACTATAAACAACAAGAGGACTCTACCTGTTCAATGGGACTGCCCGGTAAGTGTAGCCTTGGCCAGTGGGAGTAGTAACTGTTCTGCTGCTTCATGGTCTTACGGATGTCTTGTGGCTGGAGCGTAGATTGACTGGAACTACTGTACAGAATAACAACCAGTAACAGGGCAGAAACGGCCACAGCCACAATGTGAGACCTCTTCCATTGTAGGGTAGACATTGTGTCAAATATCAATCTGTAGGTGTTTTATATGGACTGTAGTGTGGATCTGAAAAAATACAGGTTTATAGCTTTCATTGACACTATATACACTAGTATGTGGTTTTGAAGACTGTGAGAAACATCTCCATTTTATGTGAGAAGAGCAAACAAGAGGCCCATGGGCTTTAACAGTCACCTGACTCTACAGTATTTTTTTTTTTGTTGAAATATGTACCAATTTGAGTAAAAAATAGTATAATGTTAACTTAACTTTGTCAGTACCATGAGCTGATCATTCCTAGACCAATTTTAAGTGAGATCGGCCTATTAGAATTTAGTAGCAAAATAGCGGCCATGGCAGCCAAATTGTATTTCTGATTGACCCGAAAAATAACAACACTTTTTCAGGACCCAACTTCGCGAGCCGAGGGCGTTCAATACGATACTCTCCATGAGGCGATCATTACTACCAACTTTCAGTTCAATCGGTCCAGCAGAACTTGACGTTAAGTTTGAAATAGGTTTTCAAAATGGCGGCCGAGGCGGCCATATTGGATTTCTGATCGACCCAAAAAATAACAACACTTTTTCAGGACCCAACTTCGCGAGCCGAGGGGGTTCAATACGATACTCTCCATGAGGCGATCATTACTACCAACTTTCAGTTCAATCGGTCCAGCAGAACTTGACGTTAAGTTTGAAATAGGTTTTCAAAATGGCAGCCGTGGCGGCCATATTGGATTTCTGATCGACCAAAAAAATAACAACACTTTGTCAGGACCATGAGGCGATCATTCCTACCAACTTTAAGTTCAATCGGCCCAGCAGAACTTGACTTTAAGTTTGAAATAGTTTTTCAAAATGGCGGCCGTGGCGGCCATTTTGGATTTCTGATCGACCCAAAAAATAAAAACCCTTTGTCAGGACCCAACTTCGCGAGCCGAGTGTGTTCAATACGATACTCTCCATGAGGGGATCATTCCTACCAACTTTCAGTTCAATCGGTCCAGCAGAACTTGACGTTAAGTTTGAAATAGGTTTTCAAAATGGCGGCCGAGGCGGCCATATTGGATTTCTGATCGACCCGAAAAATAACAACACTTTGTCAGGACCCTGAGGCGAGCATTCCTACAAACTTTAAGTTCAATCGGCCCAGCAGAACTTGACTTTAGTCAAGTTTGAAATAGGTTTTCAAAATGGCAGCCGTGGCGGCCATATTGGATTTCTGATCGACCCAAAAAATAACAACACTTTGTCAGGACCCAACTTCGCGAGCCGAGGGTGTTCAATACGATACTCTCCATGAGGCGATCATTCCTACCAACTTTCAGTTCAATCGGTCCAGCAGAACTTGACTTTAAGTTTGAAATAGGTTTTCAAAATGGCGGCCGAGGCGGCCATATTGGATTTCTGATCGACCCAAAAAATAACAACACTTTGTCAGGACCCAACTTCGCGAGCCGAGTGTGTTCAATACGATACTCTCCATGAGGCGATCATTCCTACCAACTTTCAGTTCAATCGGCCCAGCAGAACTTGACTTTAAGTTTGAAATGTAAAATGTTAACGGACGACGGATGACGACGGACGAAAACGGATAGCAATAGGTCACTTGAGCTAAAGCTCAGGTGACCTAAAACATCTAGCTTCATTCATTAAGAGTACTATATATATATATAAACAAGAGTACCACGGGGCAGAACAATATACGCCCGCCAAATGCCATATAGTGTTTTATACTTTCTTCCATTGAAATAAGATCTGCATCATTCTAAGAGTGGTTAGCTGACATGCTATAAAAAATGTAGGAGAAAAAACTCCAGACAAAAAAATCAAATACTGAAATGAGCAAAGGGCAAGAACTTTTGCAAAAGGGAGACACAGCTTCATATCATGATTATAATGTATACCAAGTTTCAAAGAGATCCGTTGAAAAATGTATGAGGAGATTGCCGGACAAAAATCAAATACTGAAATAAACAAAGGGCAATAACTTCTGGAAAAATTGTTGAATCAACATTCTTTTAAGGGAGACACAACTTCATATCATGATTTAATGTACCATAATACTTCCGTCAAATTTGACGGGCGTATAAAAATATAACCATGATGATATATGGTATTTCAATGAATATCATATATAAATTTCACTTATATGGCAGAATATGTACAGATGTTTTTCATTGTGCTTCAGTGTCAGATGCAGCAGTGTTACCCTAGTTGCCCTGAGACAACAGACTTTTCCCTGTATGTACAAAATATAGCTGAGTCAAAGATTTTTAAAAGTTTTCCTCAATTTCATATTGGATTTGCTATTGAATAGTTAAATCAAGGTTTCTTATGGTTTCCCCTAGCCAGCAATGTCATTAACTGTAGGTAGGCTTAAGGGTCAAAAGGTGCATTTATGTGAAATTTGAGAAAGATCCCTCCAATATGTTTTGAGCAATAGGGCTATAAATGTTTACTCCCAAATTCAATACGACCACATGCCAGCCATCTTGGTTTTCCAATCATCCCCAAAATTCGAAATGCGGAACTAGGAACTAAGAAAAATTTGAGAAAGACGCCTACAGAACTTTCAGAAACACAGCGCTAACACACTAAATCTCAAATTCAAGATGGCTGCCTGTTGGCTATTTTGGTTTTGTGATCAGTCACAAAAAATGATATACATAACTTGGGATCATGGAAAACCTTCATGAGAAATTTGAGAAAGATCCCTCCAGCACTTTCTGAGGAACAGTGCTTACAAACTTTAGCTGTCAAATTCAAGATGGCTGGCTGTCAGCCATCTCGGTTTTGTGATCAGTCCCAAAAATTGATATACGTAACAAGGGACAATGGGAAACCTATATGTAAAAATTTGAGAAAAAATCCTCCAATACTTTATGTGAAATAGCGCTAACAAACTTTCATTCTCAAACAAGATGGCTGCCTGTCGGCCATCTTGGTTTTGCAATCAGTCCAAAAATATGATATGCACAACTTGGGATCATGGGGAACTTTCCTGTAAGATTTGAGAAAGATCCCTTCAGTGTTTTCTGAGAACTAGCGCTAACAAGAATAGAGAGGGGTGGACGGACGACAGACCATGGACGCAGGGTGATTTGAATAGCCCACCATCTGCTGATGGTGGGCTAAAAAATAATCACAAAATGATATTATCTTCAATTAAAATATTTATCTACCGTTGATCAATCATCAATTTATTAGCCCAATAAAATTGCCTTTTCACTAAAGTTTAATATGTGCTATTTGGGTAATATCTCTTGTGATAGGGGGCATAGATTATTGAACAGTGATGCGATCCGGTCATTTTGCTGTCAGTTTGCAGTTTTCCTTTTTCACCATTGAATAAAGTCTGTGGTTTCACGAGCAAACAAATGTCTTGTCAAAAGGATTTCATGCTACATTGTCTCATATTGTATGTGCATGCAGGTAGGGTCCTGTTCGTTTATGTGGAACAAATGGTTTGTCTGTTTATAAATGTAACATTTTGGGTATAAATCCCGACGGACCTGCAACTGTATTTGCAGGCCTTCCAAGGCTTTGTCAAAGCTTTGCCTGAAAGCAGCATCAGATAACTAGGTCCGACCTTATTTCATAAACGAACATGTACAACTCTGGTCCAATGAACCGGTTCAACAGTTTGCACTTTGATAAACGAAAACTAATGGAGACCTATAGCTAGACATTGAAATTAAGACTATATTAGCAAAACACGACTAAACAGGACTAAAAGTTCACCTTAAAAGTATTTAAGGGCGAAACAATTTAGTGGGAGACGACCCTTGCCGAACGGGATTTAGGACGAAAAGACCTGACACCGGGTGGAGAGTATCGTTTTCACTTCGTCTCTTCTGCCAACGAACATGATGACTGTTACGTATACTGGAAGGATGTATGTGGTGGTAGGTAAATATCGTACCCCGTTCCGGACTGAAACCCCGTACCGGGAATATAAAGATATTTTAATATCTCATTAACGCGATCGTTTATTTTTTCTTTATAAAAATATAGAATAATTTTAAACATTATTTTCTAAATGTGACAATTACAATTTTTTTTTATTCATCATCCAATAATTTAGAAATCGACGATAATGTGTATTTCAAGGGGAAAAACTTGTACGCCGCAGTCAACCGTGAAAATCACGGTTTTTCACATATAATTAGAAATTTAAGGAAAATTAACATATTATTTTCAGAGATATAGAAGAAAATACCATACTGTTTATAATTATGTAAGTTTCGTTGAAATAAACAATATATTTCGCATGAAATTCTGACTTTGTTGTGATCGCGGGCGGGGATCACGGGTGTTTTGTTTACTCTCGTACCCGTACTAAGGGGACATCACTCTGTCAAGCTGTCGTTATCAAGTAGAACTCTTAGCCATTCTATTAGAATGTTACCAGGCTCTGCGACGCTGACGCAATTCTACATAAGAGCCCATATTTTTTAAAAACTATATATAAGATAAATAATAGTTCACAAAATAAGAATTCACGATCATCATTATGATTGGTTGTCATTAGAAAAAAAGGGTATTTTTATAATAACTTAAAGAAATGGTTTTATGATTGAAATAATTGTGTTCTTTTTCATACAAAATACAAAGAAAAACCAAAAGCATCAAGTTAAATTGAAAACTATAAATATATTTATAAAAATAAAAATTAGCTGTACAATGCTGGCTAACCTAACTAACTAAAACTGCATTATTCTAACCTGACCTATATACTTCTGACTTTGATTGCTGTTTTATGAACACTTACCACACTTCAAAATATAACTATCCCTAGAAAAATGTAAATCTGACAGATCACTTACACATCTTTTATGAAACCATCTGTCACAGCCAGCATCACAAGAAACCATATCATCAAATACATTTGAAATGTGACACCCATCTGCTTTGCAATCAATAAAAATATCAAATGATAAAGAAGTCTTCTTTTGCCTAATGCCTACTCATTTTTTTCCTAGGAAATTTAGTAAAGATTTCATTGGAAATACATTCTACAAGATGTTGTCTCATGCAAGTGGTGCCAAACTCTAACTCTTCACTCCCGTTAAACCCATTGAAACAAAATTCTACCAAGTTAGCAATAACAAAAAAAACACAGTCAACCCGTTTTTCTGTTGTTGCACATTTGGTAATACTGTTTTTAAAACTTTTCTATTTTCCCCACATGATGATGACAACTGCATTTCTAAAGAAGCTGACAAATGACCCTTATTTTTCGTATTTCCTATCAAACTATGAAGAATGTATACTTCCCCACTATCTACCTCCTGTACTGGCACTTCCCAATGGTCCTCACCTGTATGATGAATTTGTGCTGATGCAGCGCTAGTTGGTTTCATTCTGAGTGTAAAGTCCCACTTATTGTTTTCAAAATTGGAACATAACCTGTATTTTGCATTCCGCCTATATTAGGAAACTTTTTCTTTAAATTATCTTGTATATAACACATGATATAACCACATAGTTTGTTATCAATTAATAAATCATTTTTATCCTTAACACTTAGCATACTTTTACTGTTAACCATCCAGATACGTCTTGTTTCTGCCGGCTTAATAAGCGACGGTCTGTCATATCTGAAAGGTCCACTAAAATATTACTTACATTCGGTTTGTTCTTTTTTTGGTAATGAAAGTCTTCTTCTTTGTTTTTCCTTAGGACTGGTACTTACAACTGTATATTCGAACGAGTGTATTCCCATTAAAATGGCAATGGAAAATAATTGTGAATAAATCTGTGTTGTTGAAAGAGGAACATGATTGGAAAGAACGAATGTCAAATGATTGGGGGACAAATGACTAACGAATTAAATGTATTAGACATGAATGAATTTAGATTGAAATCAGTAGCAGCTGTCGAAAAGATGCACAGATTATACTACCGGTAATGTGTAGATATAATCTCACATCCTGATAAAGATTAATATAAATCAAATAAAAAAAAATGAAAAATTATGAATGTCTAATATGATATGTATGTATTACCTCATCATATATACACTTATTAATGATATTTATTGAATGTATGACTTCGATGTAATTAAGTCTGTATATGTCATTATGCTATTTGGTGCTTATGTGTATTCAATATGATTTTTTTGTAATGTAAGTATGTGCGAATTATTCTGTTTAAATGTAATCTTCAGATTGGGGGAAATAAAGAGAATAATAATACATTGTATGCCTGCTACTGAATTAGCTATAATACTTACGTCTTTTTTATCTTCTTTTCCTTCTATTATATTTGACAATCTCTTACGAGTTAAAGAAAGTCTAGACCTAGGTTTTGGTTTTCTTGGAGTACCAATATCAGAAATATCGTGGAGAGGAACTGACTCTAATTTCACTGGAGAAGCCAATGTAGCACTTGGAGTTGAACAAGTTATATTTGATTCACCTAACTTAGTTAACTTACTGTCTGGTGCTGGGACGATATCATTCTTCTCTCTATCACATGGTCTCGGTCTTGACGGAGTGATGTCCCCTCAGTATGGGTACGGACGTAAACAAAACACCCGTGTTCCTCGCCCGCGATCACAACAAAGTCAGAATTTCATGTGAAATATGTTGTTTATTTCAACGAAACTTACATAATTATAAACAGTATGGTATTTTCTTCTATATATCTGAAAATAACATGTTAATTTTCATTAAATTTCTAATTATATGTGAAAACCTGTGATTTTCACGGTTGACTGCGGCGTACAAGTTTTACCCCCTTGAAATACACATTATCGTCGATTTCTAAATTATTGGATTATAAATAAACATTATTTGAACCGTCACATTTAGATAATAATGTTTGAGATTATTCTATATTTTTATAAAAAAATAAACGATCGCGTTAATGAGATATTAAAATATCTTTATATTCCCAGTACGGGGTTTCAGTCCGGGTCCGGGTACAAGATTTACCTACCTCCTTGACGGAGTGATGTCCCCTTAGTACGGGTACGGGAGTAAACAAAACACCCGCGATCACAACAAAGTCAAAATTTCATGTGAAATATGTTGTTTATTTCAACGAAACTTACATAATTATAAACAGTAAGGTATTTTCTTCTATATATCTGAAAATAACATGTTAATTTCCCCTAAATTTCTAATTATATGTGAAAAACCGTGATTTTCACGGTTGACTGCGGCGTACAAGTGTTACCCAAATACACATTATCGCCGATTTCTAGATTATTAGATGATAAATAAACATTATTGTAACTTTCACATTTAGAAAATAATGTTTGAGATTATTCTATATTTTTATAAAAAATATAAACGATCGCGTTAATGAGATATTTAAATATCTTTATATTCCCGGTACGGGGTTTCAGTCCGGGTCCGGGAACAGGGTACAAGATTTACCTACCACCGATGTATGTGACTTAATTCTCCTTTTTTTTCAATTGACCACACAATAGAATCGCTAAAGCGTTAGCCTCTAGGTAGCATCTATATAATTAATAATATTATTTACTTTGCTGGTTACCAAGCACAGAAATGTATGATTAGCGACAGCGATATTTACAAATCAAAACACCATTTTTGAAACAGAAATCGGTAACGATGCATACTTTATTTACAACACAACTTGCCTTTATAAGTACAAGTTGTTACGAATGTGTAGATGATAAAATTGTTAATTACACGAGATTTGGAACACCCGGTCAAAGTTTATACTTACAAATAACTCATGGACGCTTCCATCTTTAAAGTGAGGCGTTGATAAGTTCTGAAGCGGATTTGGACTCTGTAAATCCGGAAATGTACGGATAGAGTGCAAAACGCCGTCGTCTACCACAGACGACGGCGTTTTGCACTCTATCCGTAAATTTATATAATCTACGCTTTTATCGATCCATTTCACTGGATGATATTTTCTGTTATTTAACATAATATGATAATATTTAGATTTGTGCAAGAAAATATTCATGATATCAGCTTTTAAAAAATTAAATCTGAAGGTATTGGTTCACATGCATCTGCATGGCCTTTTAAAATCACCAGCAATGACATTTTATATAATTTCGTAAATCATACACTTCACTTTTACACTTGTGCACATGATCAACTACATATTTTGTCACGTTATCGTTACTACTTCAATTTTGTTTTCGACATGTATGCAAATACGAGTATTCACCAACCAGAGACATATATATCATACGTCTCTGCACCAACTTGGAAGACGATCAGGTATTTTTTCTGATTTTATAAAGCCTTCTCAAACCGCATCTAGAATATGCTATCAAAGTTTGGTCCCACAAAAGAATACAAATAGAGAACGCCAAGCGTCGAGCCACGAAACGCGATATTACCCTAGGCCTGATACGCTTCTAGCTCGGTAATATAGAAAAATGCAGAATGATATTATTGAAACCTTCTAACTATTCTGGTATGTCATACCACGGAATTAGATTAGTTATCTAAGCCCGTGGTTAACTTATATCAAAAATATTCTACGAAGCAACTTACTAGTCTAGAAGTAGTGATAATATCGGAAAACTCTTCAAACCATCCATTAAACACAAAGTCACTGATGACACTTTTTGAAGGAGAGTTGTACATAGACCTACAACTTAAACATGCTATTAATTATAAGTACCCAATTCCCAATCGTGCGGTACAATACATAGCTTACATATTCATGAACTCTTTTGATGCATCTCGAACAGTCACAGGCTGGCGCGTCTACGTTATCAGTAAACAGAGATCAACATACAATGATAATATAATGAACGTTCAGAACGCTAACAGCCTCTATGTCTGCATCTATGTCGTATGTATTTTGGGTGTATATTGCATGACCTTAGGATCACCTGTAAGACGACTGCTGTCTGACTGTTCCATGTCG